AGAACATGACACAATGAACAAAAGAACCAATGGAAAGAATACAAGAGGGCAAGGGAAGCATGACACAAACAGGGACCATGAAACAATTACAAATAAAAGACATGGAAAACATGAACATGAAACAAAACCCAAACACCAAACCCCACATTACATTACTATAATAATTACAATAACTGGGTAATAGCTACATACTAACCCTGAACATAACCCTGAAACTAACCTTAACCCATGTAGTTACCTTATATTACCTAGTACTTTCTTAAATAAGTACACTGTAAGTACACGTAAGTGCATGTACTGTAAAATAAAGTGCAACCGAAAGATTTTATTCTGCAAGCACACATTAAATTGATCAAAAGTGACAGTAAAGACATTTATAATGTTACACAAGATTTATATTTCAAATAATTGCTGTTATTTTGAACTTTCTATTCATCAACAAATCCTGGAAAAAAAAAATAATAATAAATAAATAAATAAATAAATATATATATATATATATAATTATTATTATTTCCGAAGGATCATGTGACACTGAAGCTTGAAGTATTGATGCTAAAAAAAATGATGTCTGTTATTCATTTTTGAATCACAGGAATAAACAACCTTTCAAAATATATTAAAACAGAAAACAGTTCTATTAAATTGTAATAATATTTCAAAATATTACTGTTTTACTGAATTTTAAATCAAATAAATGCAGCCGTGGTGAGCATTGAAGAGACTTTTTTTTTTAAAAACAACAACACCAACAACAACATCAATAATAATAATAATAATAATAATAACAACAACAACAATAATAATAATACATTTAATTACTCCAGATTTCTGACCAGTAGTATATGATTAAACAAAACAAAAAATCTGTAAAAATCTATAATGTGTGTTGTGTTTGTTTAGGCGTTAGACAATCGAGAGCAGATGTTCAGCGCTTTCACGATCTGAAAATGTCCTTTTCATTAGGCGTAATAGGTGATTTACAATACACATCTGTTCATTAAGTGATGCGTTTCCATTATTCCAGTGCTCACGATCTGAATACCAGCTCTTGACCATAAAAATAAGCTTGCAGGTATTTGAGGGCCACTGTCTGATGCCAGGTGTTCAGATGTGCCATTAAAACCCAAGCCCTAAGAGCTTGCAATACCTCTCAATATGCATATTTGTCAAAGAGATGCATTCAAATGCGTAGTCTGTAGTTCAACGGCTGCTACAAAGAGGCCACTCTGGCAGAAAGACGGATGGATTCATGCACAACACCAACATAAAAGAAGAAAAAAAAAAAAACACATTGCAATTACACACTGCCACAAAAAACACTTGTAGATGCTAAATAACCTAGCAGCAGACATAGTGCAGCCCTCGAAGTGCACTTGAAGTGTTTGACATGCAGCGTCTGACGTTATTGCATTCAAAGATGACTTATCCTGTGTGCGCTAATGAATGAGCGTGCATGTGTGCCGCTCAATAATAGTGGTGTAGTAGAAAAAAAATTAGACTTCAAATAAAATCAGGTCTTATGTCAGGCTGGCTTGGATTAAATTGTTCATTTATTTTGCCTAACACAACACAAGAGTGGATTAGTACTGATCTCTCATTACTTCAAACTGTAACCATATATCCATCTTTGTTTGCCTGATTACTTTAGGGATCT